GGGGCTCCTCTACCTCCTCGAGGACGAGCGGCCCGTGCCGTCTGCATCGTCACGGCAGTGTGGCCCGCGGGAGGGCCTCGTGCCCTCTCGCGCGCCCCCCTCCAGACCGGCTCGCCCGTGGCGCTCCGAGCTGCGCCCAGCCGTGGCCACGAGGCGGGGCCCCGCCCCCCAACAGGTGCCTGGAGCACTGGCATCTCGAGGCGTCGCTGCTGCGTCGGCGCGGCGACGGGACCTGCCGTGTGCTCGGCTTCTCGCGCGGCCTCCAGCGGTCCTGGACAGGGAGTTCGGTGGCCTCGAGAGGACGCGCTCGATCTGATCGTCGAGCTCCTCGCGAGAGAGGGGGGCGGAAGGAGGGCTCATCTTACTCATGTTGGCCCCGCGTCTGCTTGTTACGTCTCCTTCTCCTCCTCTTCATGTCTCCTCCTACTCCAGCACCTTTCGATCCTAACCATCCGTCATAATCTCCTCCTACGCCGCATCCTCTCTTCTGTTTTCCCTCATGTTCACCGCTTTCCGCAGCCTCGTTGCTTCTGTTCTCTTCATTGCGCACGCGCGTCCGTGCGCAGTCTCCGTGCTCCCTCCACCTCCTTCTCTCAGTCCTCCTCATCCTCCTCCTGCTCAAGCTGCCCAGCTGCTCCGAACCCACGAGAGAGACAACGCCAGGCAGCTAGTCAGGAGGAGAGGAGGAGGGAGAGGAGGAGGAGGAGGATGAGGAGGAAGAGGAGGAGGGGGAGGAGGGGGAGAAGGAAGAGGGGGAGAAGGAGGGGGAGGAGGAGGGGGAGGAGGGGGAGGAGGAGGAGGAGGGGGAGGAGGAGGAGGAGGAGGAGGAGGAGGAGGAGGAGGAGGAGGAGGAGGAGGAGGAGGAGTCCATGCCCTGGCGTCTGAGAGGGCGCGCTCAGCCAGATGCCCGGGCCCTCCCCCGGCCGAGGCGGCCCCGAGGCCCGAGGCCGCCCCTGGAAGGAGGCTGCGGGAGGCGCCCCGTGAGCCCCGCTCGGCGACCCGGGCACGGCGGCGGGGAGGAGCCGCAGGCGGCCGGATGACCCCGAGATGACCTGCGGTGGCCGAGTGATGCCCCGCGCGGGCCCACGTCTTGCCCAAGACTGGTGGATGCCATGACAATGGGCACTCTCACAATCTGGTCCTTGAATTGAAGATGTGCCTCTACAATGTGTGAAACAAGTTCTAAACATGTTTCAGACCTGCTTTTCTTTTACATGTTTGAAACATGTTTGAAACATCCTTTGGACATCTGGAAATTATTTGGCAGCACGCTTCCTCTCCATTGATCGACTTCCACAACCCAAGACATGCCCACGGGGAGCCCGAGAAGCCACCGCAGAGCCTCGTCCGCCGCGGGAGGGTGAGGGTGGTTGTCCCCCTGGGGCCCTCCCCGCCGCCCGGAGTTCGTGCTTGGCAGCTCCGGGCCCGCTTCGAGGCCGCGCCCTCGAAGAGTGGGACCGAGGTGGGCAAGCAGGAGAATAGGAAGAGGGGACAGGAGGAATTGGTCTGTAGCAATACCGGAAGCGCTAACCCGAACAACACTGCGAAGAAATCCGCCGACACTGTCGGCGTGTGAAAGAGGCTGTTCCGTTTGACTCGTCGTCGTCGTCGTCGCCGTCGTCGCGGTCGTTGTCGTCGTCGTCGTCGCCTTCGCCGCTCGCTTCCCCCCTTCTCCCTGGGCCCGTCGCCGTTCCCCCCACTTTCACTGGGTTCTCCTCCTCGAGCGCGCCAGCCACAGCGAAATTGAGCAACGTTGTAGTTGAGTCGAAGGGAATTCCCCTTCCTTTTGATCCCTTCCCCGCAGGGGGGGGGGGACCCGGGGGTGAGGTCCCGGGGGAGGGTTCCCGGGGGGGTCCCGGGGCCCCGGAGCAGATACGAATCTCCCTCGGGCGGTTGGGCGGCCAAGACAAGCCGCAGGACGCGGCAAAACTGCCCCAAGATGCCCCCAAGACGCTCCTCGAGGGCCCCGAATCGCCGAAGTACTGGTCCAAGTCGCCAAAGTAGCCTCCAGACGGCTCAAAGGTTTCCAAAACGCCCCAAGAGGCCTCCAAGAGGACTTCCAAGAGGGTCCCATAGGGGGCAAAAACCATTGTTTTCCTCAAAATGTTTGAAAGATTTCGGCATTTTCGCCTTGTCAGCTTCCCGACGCTCCAAGACAGGCCAAGAAGCCCCCAAGACCGCCCAAAGATGGCCCAAGAGGCCTCCAAGAGAGTCCCAAAGCGACCCAAAAAGGCCCCAAGACCGACCAGGAGGCCTCCAAGACAGCCGAAGAGGCCCCCAAGATGGCTCCAAGGAGGAGCCCTCATTTCGAGCCCTCGGCCTGAGAAGCTCTCAGGAGGCCCCCAGAGGTTCCTAAGAAGCCCCCTAAGAAGCCCCAAGAAGCTCCCAAGAGACCCCCAGGAAGCCCCAGGAGGCCTCCACGAGGCTTCCAAATGGTTCCCGAGAGTTTCCCAAGAGGCCCCCAAACCACCCCCAAAAGGCCCCCGAGAGCGCTCGTCGTCGTCGTCGCCATTCAGGGTCGGCGGCACCGGCCGCAAGGCCTTCGCAATCCTAGAACAAATCATCGGAACCGGAGTCCGATCGTGTCGGAATCTTGTGGGGTCGGATCGCCATCTCATGGATTGGAACAGCTTGAACTGAACACCAAGCGACTCGGCTCCGAGCAAACTGATTCGGGAACACATCGAACGGGCAGAGAATTATCGGATTGGTGAAGGTGTAAAAAATCGACTCAACCAGCTTCGAGCCAGATCGATTGAACCGAAACGTCCCTGGCAGTGGCTTCCGTCCACCTGCCCTGCATTAGGGGGGGAGCAGCAGAAGGCGGCGGCCCACAGATCAATCGTCCGACGCCTGCGCAGCGCGCGAAGGCCTGGGGTTGTGGAAGCCCCAGACCAGGGACACTTCCTGCAACACCCGATCCGTGGGCGTGGGTGCCCAAAGTCCCCTGCGAAGGAGCCTCGCAAAACGCACACCGGAGGCCTCTGTGAAAGTCTCTGTTGCCACGCCGACGTCTCTTTCGGTCCACGGCGATGTTGGGAAGCTGCCCCTGGCGGCGCCGAACTCGCGCAGGACCAATAATGATAGGAACCCGCGCACCATTCGTTCCTACGCTTCAAACACGCGAAGGTATCGAGCAAAGACGGCTCGGTGAACTGCAAGAAACCACGAGCCACGCTCTCTCCTACGATCGGGCCGGGCCTCGAACCACCCCCCCCCTACTATGCCGAAGCCTAGATCGCCGTTGCCTGCATCGCCGTCAGCGTGTCTACGGAGTCCTGGCCCACTGCCCCCTGCCAACCGCACAGGGCGGTGGCGTGCACAGCAGGGTCGGCGTGTCGCCGTGGCTGCAGCTGCGGCAGGCCAGCGCGGTGGCGCAGACGGCGCTGTCGACGGTGGGCCGGCCTCCCCTCCGCGCGGGCTGCGGCCGAAGACAGGCGCGGGAGGGAGCGCTGCAACGTGAGCGCCCCTCTCGATCGGGAGCGGCCAAGAGGAGGGTGTCCAAGAGGGGGGGGTGCAAATCATGACTGGCGGCATGTGCGCGGCCCAGCGGGGGGGCCATGGACGTAATGAAATAAAGAGAAGCGCTACGAAATCAGAGGAAATATCATGGCCCCCGCCATGATATCCACCCCCCCCTAGTCATCACCCCCCTCTTTTCCGCCCCCGACTCGAGGTCTTGCTTCACGTGGCTCTCGCCGGCCCAGCGCACCCTGCAGCGGAAGCGCTGCCGCGGAGTTCGCTGGTCGGGAGCCTCTGAGCCCCTTCGCCGACGGGCGGCGCCAGAGGCCCCATGGAGATGCCCCCAGAGCAGGAGAGCGCTCGGAGGAGACGCCGCCATACCCCCCCACACACACACCGTCCTTCCCCTGGCTCACGTCGTTGTGGCCTCCATGGTCTCCCCCTCTCCCTGCCCCTCTACGCCCGTCGGTCTGACGATATACCCCCACTCTTTCTGTTGTCCCCATCTGCCCGCGACCCCTGGAGCGGTGCTCTGGGGGTCCCCGGGCACCAGTTGATTCCGCCCCCCAGGTCCGACCTGCCCTGGATGGGGGGGGGGGCGACATCGGCAACGCACTTCACGCATATGGCGTAACAGCTCACACCAGGCAGAGCATGAGGGTACCCCTCCCAAGCTGGGGTAAGTGTTGATCTGCGTGCCAGCTGTGCTGGATTCCGACGGCATCATGCGCCACGGCTGGACGGGTGCGTTTTTACAGCGGGGCCATGATCCAACAACAAGCCCAGACCTCCGATGTCTTGATTTGTTCAATACTGAATCTCCTGGCCTCTCGGTCCCTTCCGAGGGACAAATTGTCCGCCCTGGATCATGTACTGGCGTTCTCGGAACCAGGAAACCGCCCCGACGCCGAAACTTGTGAAAAACCTCCGCCTTGATTTTCTCAAGACGCTAGATGTCTTGGCTCCATGCCGAGGATATCGATCGCAGGACCCATCCAGGGGTGCGACCTGTCCAGAATCTTGAGGTGGACACAGCCGTGGCCACGAAAACGTCCCGGGAGGCACAGACAAGCTGGGAGAACCTCCATCCTCGATTCTTTGCTAGCCCTCCTCCTCCTCCTCCTCCTTCTCCTCCTCCTCCTCCTCCTCCTCCTCCTCCTCCTCCTCCTCCTCCTCTCCTCCTCCTCCTCCTCCTCCTCCTCCTCCTCCTCCTCCTCCTCCCTCCTCCTCCTCCTCCTCCTCCTCCTCAGCCGGCCTGCACTGCGGGTGGGTATGAAATTGGCGCCCCCGAGGGGACGGGAGCGAAGAGCATCGGCACCACCACCGCAACCATCGTGAGGAGCCAGGGAGGTCATCATGGTGGTGTGGTCTCCCTGGTTTGCAGCCTCTTCCTCCAGACGTCTCCAATCTCAAGCTCGGGGAGGCATGGGCCGAACCTCCTCCTAGCTGGCGATGGCCAGCTGCTGGCAGTGGTGCCCGTCGTCAAACCCGGAGGTGACCATCGTTTAAGCAATCCGCCTCCCCCTTGGTATGGGCTTGGCCTCGCTGGCTGGCTAACCCCCCGGGATGGGGGCATGTGCGGCTCCTTCGGGTGTCGTGGGACCTGTCCTCACTTGGGGGGCGGGAGGGGCTGGAGGGGCTCAGATACCATGGCCCCCTGGGGGGATAGGGATCGGCTTGACGATGCCGAGAAGGGGGCGGCGGCGACGGGGGGTCCACGTCGCTGCAGTCGATGCCGTCAGGGGGCAGCTCGTAGTCCAGCGGGCTGTCCGCGCGCTGGGCGCTGCTGGCGTCGCTGGTGCGGCTGCTGGCGGCGTGGACCTGCGCGGCAACCGCGGCGGCCGCCGCCCCCCCGTGGCAGTGCGCACAAGGGGGTGGAGGGAAGGGGAAGGGCTTCTTGGGAGGAGGCTGCTTCTTAGGAGGCGCCGGCCCTACCTCGATAGAGACGGCCCGCGCCTTCTGAGACGCAGGGATGCTTCCGAGAAGCCGTCCCCCCTCCCCCTACCCCCATCTGCGCGTGGCCGAACCCCCGCCCCCCGACGCCATCGCCGCCGCCCTCATCGCCGTCGCCGTCGCCATCGTGGTCGTCGCCGCCCTCGCCCTCGCCCTCGTCGACGCCGGCCGCCGCGACGCGCTGCCGCCGCCGACATCTCGCCGTGGGGTGGTCGTCGCCCCCGCCGCCGTGCGTCTGCGACGTTGCCGCTCTGGGCGGCACACGCCTCGCGGGGCGAGGCGCCGCGGGCGCGAGTGCCAACGTGGATGCTGCCGGAGGCTCCCCCGGGAGGGCCCCGCGGAGCCCGGCGGAGAGCCGGCGGAAGCCGCGAGAGGCAACCAAGAGCCGCGAGGGCCCGAGGCCCAGAAGCTCGAGCCTCCCTCCTCTCTCCATCAATGGCCCCAGACCCCCGACGTCATGATTTTTTCATGACGCGACCCCCAGAGGTCCGGACCCCTTCCCCGGGACCGGCTTTTCATCCTGAATCGTTTTTTGACGGTCCTGAGGGCCGGTAAGGGCCCCTGGAGGCCGAAAATTAGGAAAAACCTCCCGTCGTGATTTTTTCACTACTCGAGGGGGTCTGGGGTCGATGGCGCTGGCGAGCGACGAACGTACCCGTGTGCGCGCCCCTGCGGTCTGGATGCGGGGGCGCGGTCCCACGGACGTGCGGTCGCACGGATGCGATCCGCGCGGGGGGCGCCCGCGAAGGAAAAGCACCCCGCGTCTGCGGGATCGCGGCCCAAGGGGCCCGGCCCGCGAGGCCGTGGATACAGGGCAGTTTTTAACACATAGGATGTTTAAAACAGATATGATTTCAATGCATGGTTTAATTATGAATAAATGTATGCATGAGCTCATCGTTGCTTTTGACACGTACTCCCTGCATGTTTAATACAGGATGCGCACGCGGAGCATGTATCAAGAACGGCACTGTACGGATCTGTTGTGCGCACGCGAGGCCCGCAAAGATGGATCAGGGAGCCGCGCATCTGACGCGTGGGCGCCAAATCTGAGGATCGGCGAGCGCGGCCCCCGAAGCGTGGCGCCAGCGCCCCGAAACACGGCGACGGAACGCTCCGGTTCGGCATGGCAGCGGGTCCCGTCGCTGATCCACGCGCCTTCATGCTCGACCCCTGCTTGCCTCGAGGACCTCGAGCGTCTTGCTTCTCGATCTGGGAAAACCTCGATCACCGGAAGGGCAGGCGCAAGTCTTGTTGTCCTGGGCGTGGTGCGCAAGGCGAGTGGGGCAGTCTGCTAGAGAGGCAGGATCATCACTTCTGTCCCCTTCGGGCACGAGAAGGGGGGAGGAGGAGAAGGAGAAGGAGGAGGACGAGAAGGAGGTGGCAGAGGAGCAGGAGCAGGAGAAGGACGAGGAGGAGGAGGAGGAGGAAGCGGAGGAAACAACTGCAGCATTGATGGCGACGACGCTCCTCACCTCGCAGCCGTTCCCTCGGGTAGGGCGGGGCGCGAATCGCGAGGAGGAGATGGAGGGGGAGGGAAGGAGAAGGAACAAGGGAGGACGGGGGACGATGAGGAGGAAGGATGAGGATGAACAATTGGAAAGTCTGGAAGTCTGCGAAATTGCGCGCCACGGTGCTGACACGTGCCATGGAAACAAATACATAACAACCAGACGCAAAGGAAGCAAAGCGAAGCTACCTTTGAAAGGCCGTCCCACCAGATGGACATCACCGTTTATGGATCCTGTCCTGAAGTGCCACCCTCCCGGAGAATACTGGAGGCCATACTTCTGATCGCCAGATGAAGGACTAGATACTAGATGGGACACGTTGGTCGGCGACGGGGCCCATTCTGGGGCAAGGCGCGACACGTTGGTCGACGGAAGGGGCCCACATTGGCGACACAATACGCATCGACCCGCCCGTCGCGCAACATTGACCAACTCCTCGTGGCATGGCGCATCAACGCTTCACCAACTCCCATCAGTGCTTACGGGGAGACCAGCAGCGCGTGCATCCAGACTTGTTGGTGGCACGGTCGCGTACCACAACGGGGAGGGCTGCACCTGCAGGCGCAGCCAAGATAGGTGTAGGCACACACCAGGGATCTCGGGCCGAGCTCGTGCTGAGTGAACACCGCACGGACGACTGACGGGGCGGGCGGCACGTGGAGAGGAGGAGGACCCTAGACCCTCGGTGGCGCTTTCGCCGCTTCCTTCGCCTGCATGGCTTCCAGGGTCGCCTCGGGCAGGCGATGCCTGACGAGAAAGGCCATCCGCTCGACCTTCATTCGTGACCTTCGCCTGATCCGGCACCCGGGCGAACATTGCTGCCCGACCTGCTAGAGTGTCAACACAAGCGTTTCCAATCACAGGCCAACGCGGGGTTCCAGACTCATCTTCCTGGTCATCCGTAAGGTACGAAAGCGCCGACATCACTGCGACCTCACCGATCCTGTGAGCGATGTGCCGACCTTTTTTCAACCACGATCTTGGTTGGCTCCAGCGGGCTGAAGGTGCCCGCGCGAATAGAAACCCAGAAACCAAAGACAACGGCGTCACAACCCGTCACTTATGCCATGACCTCCTGTGAGCACCCACGGGCTAACAGGAATCCTTGATGCTCGCCCCGAACAACGACGGACAGCCTCGGGGCAGCGAGGGGCCTTGTCACCGAAGACCGAATCACACACGGATCGAAGCCAGACAAAACCGTGATGGCGACACCGACCCGAACAAAGCACGGATCCCCTGCCTGCTTCCCACCAGAAGCATCACCGCAAGCCACGATGGGCTGAACGGCCAGTCCTTCCCCCAAGCAGCCTGCCAAGATATCCGAACTGATGTTCGAAATCTCTCACAGCTGAGAGCCTGGAGGTGGAGGAGCTCTCTCGGCAAAGGGGGAAGGCAAGGCAATAGGCCGACCCGACCCACTTTCGATTCCTTGTGCGGGTCCGTCATCGGCGCCAGCTGCCGGCGGCGGCAGCCCAGCAGCGCCCACGGGCGCGGGCGCGGGCGCGGAAGAGAGAACGAGACGGGCAGGACGGAGGGAAGAGCGCGACCTGGAGGTGGAGGAATAAGAAGACTCGGCACTGCGCGTGGTCTGGTTCGGACCTCGGACGCCAAGCCTGACAGCTCAGCTCACACTCGACATCCCACTATCGAAACCGTCTTCGAGTCTCGAGGTGTCGGTCGTCGCGCACCGTGCAACCTACCATACAACGTATACTGGAGGATGACGATTAATAAATGACCGGGGGTCGTGTTCACGCGGCGGCGCCCGGGATGACGATTAGAAAAAACTGGCCGCGGGCTGATAAACTATTGTTTGACCGTTCTCCTCCAGTCAGAAAATGATGCAGAAATAACAGAAAACTATGTGTGCATCGTCCTCCCCCATGTTTTTATGAATCGTCATCCCGCATTACGGGCGGAGGCACCTCACGAGGAGGGGAGGGAACAAGAAGGACGAGGAGGGCTCCCCCCTGTGCTGCGACGCCCGCGGCCGGCCGGCCGGCCGGCCAGGGCCCCCCCCCCCGCCAGCCACGGCCCCGGACCACGCCGCCGTCGTCGCCGGGCTTCGCGGCGAAGGCCGGCGGCCTCTGAGCGTCGGCGCCTCGGCACGACGGGCGCGGGCGCCGTCGCCGTCGCCGGCAACGCTGTCGTCGTCGTCGTCGTCGCCCCGCGTGCCCGCACGGGGAGCTGACTCCAAGGTCGTGCTGCCATGAGGGGTCCTGCTGGGGGGGTGGGCGCGGGGCAGCAGGGGAGAGGAGAGGGTGGAGGGGGGGAAGGGGAGGCGTCAGAGAAGGAAGAGGAAAGGGGAAAGTGGAGGGGGAGGGAGGGGGAAGGGAGGGGAGGGGGAGGGAAGGGAGGGGGAGGGGGAGGGGGAGGGGGAGGAGGAGGAAGGGAGAGGGGGAGAGGAGGAGAGGGGAGAGGGAGGGGGAGAGGGAGAGGAGAGGGAAGGGGGAGGGAGAAGGGGAGGGGAGGAGGCAGGGGGGAGGGGAGGGGAGGGAGGGAAGGAGGAGGAGGAGGGAAGAGGAGGAGGGGGGAATGGGGGAGGGAGGGGGAGGGGGAGGGGGAGGGGACGGAGGGGATAAGGAGGGTGGAAGGAAAGGGAGAACCAGTGACGAGGGAGGGGCAGGCGAAGGGAAGAGGAGAAATGGTGCTCCACGAAGCCCCCAAAGACGGCCCCAGGAGCCCCCGGCGACAGCCCCCCCAGGGGCCCCCAAACGGCCGAGAACGCCTCCAGCACGGCCGAAGAGAGCCCCCATACGGCCCAAAAGGGCCCCCCAAGAGCCAGAGGCGGCCAGCAGGTACCCAAGACAGCCCAGGAGGTCCTCAAGACAGCCCGAGAGGGCCCTCAAGACAGCCCAAGAGGGCCCCAAGATAGCCCGAGGGGGTCCCAGCAACGCCCCAGAGAGCCCCCCCGAGGCCCCCCAAATGCCCCCCAAAGGCCGCCAGGAGGGTGCGAAGTGTGGGCCCCAAGATGAGAAGGACGAAGAGGAGGAGCAGCTGGAGAAACCCGAGGACGAGGAAGAGAAGGAGGAGCAAGGGGAGGAGGAAGAGGAGGAGCAGCGGGACCATCAGGAAGAGGAGAAAGAGGAACAGGATATGGATGCGGAAGGGGAAGGTGAGAAATCCGCCGGTCCGGCGTGTGAACTACAAGGAGCCTCGGCAAGAGCTTCAGCTGTGAGCCTGAGCAAGAGGTTCAGATCTGCTTGGGGGGGTCGCCGGGGTGGCTCTGCCGGGGAAGGGGGGGAGGGGGGGTGCCCCCGGCCATCTGGCGTTTTCTTCATGATTTGCGCCACCGGAGAATGGGGGGGAGGGACCCTCCCCTCGCGGAACCCTTCCCAGGCCCACCCCGGGACCGCTCCATGGACCCCCACCGGGGAGAAGAAAAAGGACCCGAAGAATCGAGGAGGGAGGAGGCCAGAGAGCCGCGGAGGACGCCGAATCCGGAGCCCCCCGGATCGGCGGTACTGGCCGGAGGCCATTACAGTCAAAAACCCTGATAAGGACGCGCGGTAAGGACGCAAGACCCTTGGAAGCCGAAGTTGGGATATTTAGGGCGGCGGACGACGAAAACGTCAAGGACGCAAGAGCAACGAAGAGCAAGGACGCAAGGGTACACTTAGCAAAGTCGCGCGTCCTTATTAGGGTTTTTGCCTGTGCAATATCAACAATCGAGGCGGAGGGGGAGGGAAAGGGGAAAGGCGAGGAGAAAAGAAAGATCATGAGCATGGCAAACAGGCTGTCGCAGCGTCCAGGCGTTGCGCGCCCGGGGCGCGCCCTCCGCGAAACGAGGTGCATCGAAAAGAGGGCTCAGAGCCTGGGGGGCTGGCGGCAGAGGGCGCAGCCCCTCACAGGCTGAGCGATGGGGAATACAAGAGGGGGGAGGCGCAGGGGCCTCCCCTCCGAGGCCCGAGGGCAGCAGGGCCCAGCACCGGCGCCCGTGCAAGCACGGCCGCCCCCCGCCCCCCGCCCGACCCCGGCCGACGGCGCCGAGGCCCCGCCGGCAGCGGGAGCAGGCAGGCCCTGCCACCCTGCGACCCAGACCCCCTCGAGTCATGAAAAAAATCATGACGAAAGGTTTTTCGCTATGTTCGGCCTCCGGGGGCCCTTACCGGCCCTCAGGACCGTCAAAAAACGACTCAGGATGAAAAGCCGGTCCCTGGGAATGGGTCCGGACCTCTGGAGGTCGCGTCATGAAAAAATCATGACGTCGGGGGTCTGGGGACGCAAGGCGGGGCTTGCACCCTCCCCGCGGAGGCCGACGGCGGAGAACGGCGAGAAGGCCTCGGCGCAACAGGGCGCCGGGCCCCTCGACCTTCCAGGGGCCCCCGCGCGACGGGGCACGCCGCAGACCGTGGGCACATTCCCGAGCTGCCCAGGTGCTTGCCCAGCGGAGGACGCCCGAGGGGCAGAGGCGGCAGCAGCGGCGCCCAGGGCAACGCGAGGCTGAGGATTGGGCCACACAGGGACGTGGACGCCATGTGGTGCTCGGACGGCGTCGGAGCGTAGGAACGAACAGCATCGCCGCTGGCGTCGGGATACGTCGGTCTCCACCGCTGGTGAAAGGTGTCCGGCCAAGCTAGGCGTTGGTCATAGGCGTCATCCGCTCCTCAGCGAGGCGGTGGGAGAAGGTCGGACTGACGCCGTTGTCGGCGCCGAGAGTGTCGCCAAGGCAGGAAGCGAGCGCATAAAAGCAGGAAGCAAGAGTCCATCGCGTGGTCCCGAGAAGCGCCCCCGGAGCGCAACGTCTGTGCACGGACCCTGAGACACACTTGTCTGCAGTCATAGAATGTCGGGCCTGGTGTGGACCGTCATCCGCCGTCCCCGGGGTCCGCAGGCGGGTCGGCGTTCTGCGGTCGAAATAGAGTCAACCAAGGAAGCACCGAGCGCCCATAGTGGCCAACATGGGATGGCGTGGCGGCCTGGTGGAGCAGCGCTCTCGCCCCAGGCTGTGTACTGCGGCAGGCGGGGGGGCCTGGTGGCCTCCGCCTTGATGAGGTTACGCTGCAAGCTGGTAACGAACGAACGAACAAAGCCGCGCCCTGACGGCACTTGGGCAACAGAAGCACATGTGTAGCAACAAAGAAAAAACGCCGCGAGAACGCTGAGCAACAGCAGTGCCTCGGGCGACATGTGCTCGGAAAGTTGTCTGCAACGCTGTGCGAGGGTAGGCTACACTGCACATGGGAGGAGGGAGGGGGGGGGGCGATAGGGGGGAGGAGATAGGGGGGGAGGAGGCGGCCGAAAATAATCATACTCCAAGCGTCACCTGAATACCGTGGTGGTGTGGTGATACGGAGTCAGCCGTCAACGAGCCTGGTGGCCACACTGCGGAGCGCCATGGAGCGCCGTCGGACACTCGGTGAGGGTGTCACAGTGAACCACGCTGAGTGGACTGATTGCCGACGTGGCCTGGTGGCCCTTGTGGCTGATATGTTCTTGAGCGTCGGCGGACGCTCACTCTAAGAGAGTCTCTGCGGACTCCAGACTGCGTCAAGAGTCATCGTGGAGTTCGGCGTCGTGGGTCGGTCGTCGGACACTGGTCTGTGGGTCGCCGGCGGGGCGTCGAAGAGCTCCCCCCTGCTCAGGGGGAACGCATGTCAAGCCGGGCGCGGGCAGGTACGCGGTGTTGCCCTTGGTCAGTTGGACCACCCAGCTCTGGCTTTGCTCCCCCGTCCGGCCAGCAACGATGCCGTGGTGGCCGCTGGTGGGTGGCGCTCCTGGCTGCTAACTATGACCCGAGTACCCTCGCACATGTCGGGTGGCACGGGTGTGGTCGGACAGAGGTCGAGCAGTCGGCAGTCGGCCGTCGGCGGCCTCTCCGGCGCTCGGCGGACAGCCGCTGGCGGCCATGGGGCGGACACGGGTGACGCCAGGAGGACTGGCTGGAGCGGCGGCTTGCTGGCCACGCTGCGCAGCACCGGAGGGAGTCGTCGGCGCCACTCGGCGGGAGGGTCGGGATGGAGACCACGGTGCGCGGGCTGCCTGCCGCGGTACGAGCCTGCTGGCCCTCGCGGCGGGTGATCTCCCGAGCCCGCGGGCGCTCGCGCGGAGGGGCGCTGCGGCGACTGCGCCGCGAGCCGTGCACGAGCTCGGCGCCGCGGGTCGGCCGTCGGGCACTGGGCCGACGGGGTGCCGGTCGTCGAGGAGCGTCGTCGGAGCTCGGGGAGGAAACGACCCCGTCGGTCGTCGGCGGTCGCTGCCGCGGCCGTCGGGCGGTCGTGGGCGGGCGTCGGGCGAACAGGGGCGCGCGCCCTCGTGCGACCGAGGAGAACAAAGCGAGAGAGAGGGGGGGGGATGATGATGATGATGAGCCGTCTCCTCGTGGTCCTCACGGCGTGGTTGCCTCGCTTTGGGAAAACAAGGGGGGATGCAGGGAAGGGGGGAGGAGGTGAGAGGAGGAGTGAGAAGGAGGAGGACGAGGAGGGGGAGGCGAGAGGGGAGGAGAGGAACGGGGAGCAGGGGTGCAGGAGGGTGAGGAGAAGCGGCCGTAGCAGGAGGACGAGGAGGGGGAAGAGGCGGAGAGGGCATGCTGCAAAGGACGGGGAATCCAAAACCACTCGGAGGCCCCTGCGAGATGCGGAGAAGGAGAGCCAGCCGAGGAGGAGGAGGTCCCCAGAGCGTATTCAGAAAATCCTCCGCCTCCTCCTCCTTCTCCTCCTCCTCCTCCTCCTCCTCCTCCTCCTCAGCAGCTCCTCGTCCTCGTCCCCCCACCAGGTCGCCGGAGGCCTCCAGAGGCCTGAAGATGTCTCCAGAGGCCTCTTGGGGTCCACGGATGCATCTGGAGGTCCCTGGAGGCCTCCAGAGGCACAACACAAACCAAACATGTCCGAAAACACGCTCCGCCTCCTCCTCCTCCTCCTCCTCATCATCGTGCTCCTTCTCACATTCCTCCTCCCTTCAGTCCTGAGGACGTCTTCCCCTATCAGTATGGTCCTTCTCCCTCTCCTTCTCCCCCTCCTCCTCATTCCCCTCTTCCCTCTCGACGACGCCTTCCCACGGGGGCCGGCACCTGAGCGGACACTCTGCGAGCTGAGCCTTCGCGAGAACAGCCCGCGAACGGCGTCCAGGTCCACCTCATCGGAGGGAGGACGGGAGGGACGGGGCGGCACGCACGCGGGGGATGCCTTCAAACAAAAAAAAACGGGGTGTTTCTTGGAAGGGCCTGGGGGCTTCTGAGAAGGCGTCGAAAAAGCCGAGGTGGCTTCTAAGAAACCGCCTGCCTCCCAAAAAGCCCCCAGGGCTTCTCAGAAGGCCTTCCCCCTGGCGCTACCCCTTCTGCGCGACGCCAAGTGAGGAGCGCAGAGCTCAAGCGTCGCGAATGTTCCAAAGCACTTTCTATTTCTTCAATTTTGGCCTCGGGGGGGGTCGCTGTCGGGCCTGGGGACCGACTGTCAACAATCCAACGGCGATGCGCGTGCGATCCAAGCGCTAGAGCTCTCGGCATCACCTCGGAACCGATGCAGCAACTGAGATCTCTCACGACACCCGGGTGCGAGCGGAGCCATTTCGTCCGATCGAATGGCGAGCACTTGTCCTCGAGGTCTAATCTCCACCCCCAAGACCCCTCTGCATCCTCGCAACGCAGACCGCTGAAATCCTGGCCGTGCACATACACCGCAAGGAGGAGGGGGGAGAGTCCGCCACTGGGCCCTGCGCCCGCTGGGGCGTGCTAGAATGCGCCCGTGCTGCATGGAAGGCCTCTTCATAGCTTTGTTGGGCCGACTCCCCACCCTCAACGCGCGCGTCCCTTGAACATCACACACACACGCACACAAGAAGCCGCGCCTAGACGGCGCATCGGCAAAGAAATACTGCGAACATGCACATGCGAGAAACCAGAGAACAAGCAAATACGCCATGCAGGAAGACATCGAATCCTTGAAAATCGTTTCCCCTGACATTGCTCTCCAGCGCTCTCCTCGGCCTCCAGACGGCCAAGATGGCCCCGAAGATGGCTCGAGAGGATCCCAAAACGGCCTCAATATAGCTCAAGAGGCCCCAAGACGGCCCAGGAGGGCTCCAAAGAGGCCCTCTTGGAGAGCCCGAAGAGGCCAACACCATTGATGCCCGGGTTCGATTTCGATAGGTGTTGAGGATCTCGCCTGTTTTGGGTTCCCGCCCGCCCAAGACGGCGCAAAAGGCCTCCAAGAGAACCTCCAAGATGGCCCCAAGACAGCCCATCGGGGCCCCAAGAGGGCCCCACGTCGGCCCAAGGGGACCCAAAGCTGGCCCGCGGGGCTCCCCCAAGAGGGCCCCGTGACAGCCCTGCAGCTCTCCAAGAGGGCACGAAGACGGCCCAGAGCGGCCCATAAGAGGGCCTCCGAAGGCGGAGTCCCCTGAGACGGCCCAGGGAGCCCCAAGAGGCTCCCAAGGGGCCCCAGGAGGCCCCCAAGAGGTCCCCAAGAGGCCCTCGGGAGGCACCCAGGAGGCCCCCGGGAGGCCCAAAGAGGGCCGCAAGAAGGCTGCTCCCATTCGTCCTCAGAGTCTCCAACACTCCCCCCTCCTCCTCCTCCTCCTCCTCCTCCTCCTCCTCCTCCTCCTCCTCCTCATCCTCCTCCTCCTCGTCCTCCTCCTCCTCGTCTTTCCTCATCCTCCCTACCGCGCGAACGAAGACGATGTCGATATCACGACCCTCCCACAATCAAACCACTTGCTGAACTGCTGCGGGGTGTGAACTCGACCTCTTGCGTACCGCGCGGACGAAGACGAGGTAGAACGAACGACCCGTCCTTCTCAGACCAGTTGCCGGAATGACTCTGTTCCGACACTCCGCCTCCTCCCTGATGCTCTGCTGCACAGGCACTATGAGGGGGTTTGCCGCATGTAGCTGGTATAAGAGGAGGAGGAGGAGGAGGAGGAGGAGGAGGAGGAGGAGGAGGAGGAGG